TACAAATGTGAAACAACTTTGGGATGATTTCATACTTCATGGGTTAACTGATATAAATGAGGTAAGGATGCTGAATTTCACTAGAAAATAAGCGGGAATTTCTTCTCCAGATAAATGAAATGCTTTTGGCGCAACCCTCTTCTGTGATGTACCTCAGGATCTCATATATCGCCGGCGGTAAGCGATTACGATCTCTTTCTCAGAAAACGTATTATATTTGAACGCATCTGGTACGCAACAGGTCGCGGTTGCTCGTCGTTGTAGTAAGTGCTTAAATTTGAACGAAACCCGGCTAAAGATTGCTACTTTGCATTGAATTCAAAACCCAGTTCAAGCTTCTAAAAAGGATAGGTTTTCATAAACATAGTTCTGACGCCCAGTGACAGGATATTGAAAGTTATGGTCGTTTTGACTTCACACCCTTCAAAAAATAAGTTCTTTTGAAAAGAATTAGCTTTGACTTAAAAGAAGATAATGTTAAAATGTCAGATTACTATCAACCATACGGTCTGAGTACTATTACTCATACATACAATAAGAAGAATACTGTATTGAACGCGACGTAATGTTTAGATGTAGTGCTACAACTGTGATAAAACAGAAATAAAAATGCATTGGAAAAAATGGCAAATGCGTCATTTTCTTTTGCGTTCAAAAGCAATTTGCTTTGCATAATAAAACAATATTGGAAATCTACTCATTCTTGCTGTTTTCCTCAGGATTTCCCCCAGGTGATTATCTGGAGTTGCACGGTTGTAGAGCATCTTAGCTGCGCAGCTAGCAGAACAATTCAAAAATTATACGAACTATATGAAAAATTAGACGAGAAATGAACAAAGTGGAGTTAAAGTTTGAGTTGACCTATAAGTCAAGGCAAAAAGTGGTTTCTCCTACTATATCCAGCCAGATTATAAAAATGAATGTTACGCCATAGTCTGTTTGTCTTTACCAAGATAAGCGCTTTACAATGATATCTAACTTATTCTTGATTTGTAAGCAAGGACAAGAAAGATCAGAGCTAAGCCCCATGGATTGCACCGGGTTATGTAGATAGTGCGCAGTGGCGGAGGTTCTACAGGGAAATCAGTGTCGGCGGCGCATTTGATTTTGGTGGGCTATCTTCGCTTATACCCGGCAAAACCATTGCATTGCATTTTCTTGCTTAATTTAAAAGAGAGTCGCAGTCGATCACTGCACGCATATTAATCCATGTCTGACTTTGAATTTCGACATCGTTAATACTTCTTTGCATACTGAGCCGTAACTCAAGATCGGGCAACGGTTTATAAGGTTTGCGCTTTGGTTTGTTCGCTATGGTCAGAGCGTAGAAAATGATTTAGACGTACCATTTCAGACGTTTTCATTGCTTGCAGGAAAAACTCATAAAGTTGAACAAGCGTTGAATTAAAAGCCTATGAAAGACAGCTTATCTTCTGATATTGAGGCTATCGATCAGGACCACCAGATAGGCACAGTC